AAGCAAAAATTCTTTTTGGCTTTCTTTCAGTTAGTGAAAACGGGTTCTAATGTAGGTTTTTTTGTGTTTTTTTAAACAAATATATTATTTCAAATGGTTGTTTATTTTTGAGAGAGAGACAGAGCACGAGCAGGGGAGGGGCAGAGAGAGAGAGAGGGAGACACAGAATGTCAAGCAGGCTCCAGGCTCTGAGCTGTCAGCACAGAGCCCAATGCAGGGCTTGAACTCATGAACCGCAAGACCTGACCCGAAGTCGGATGCTTAACCAACTGAGCCACCTAGGCACCTCTTAACGTAGGTTTTTCTTAAAGTGAAGTGGCCTAATGGGAGCTTTTGAAAAGTGAGGGGACACATGTATACCACATTTTGTTTACTCATTCATCAGCTGATGGAAATTTGAGTTGTTTCCACCTTTTGTGTTGCTGTGAACATTTGTATAAGGCATTTTGTTTAACAGCTTTGAGATTAAATTAGCTCAATAGATACCTCTTGCATTTAAATTGTACAGTTTAATGGGTTTTGGTATGTTACATTATTTTTTTATTTTATTTTATTTTAATTTTTTTTTCAACGTTTTTTATTTATTTTTGGGACAGAGAGAGACAGAGCATGAACGGGGGAGGGGCAGAGAGAGAGGGAGACACAGAATTGGAAACAGGCTCCAGGCTCCGAGCCATCAGCCCAGAGCCTGACGCGGGGCTCGAACTCACGGACCGCGAGATCGTGACCTGGCTGAAGTCGGACGCTTAACCAACTGCGCCACCCAGGCGCCCCCATTATTTTTTTAATTGTAAAATACTCAAGATGTAAAGTTTGCCATTTGAACCGTTTTTAATTTTACAGTTCAGTGGTGTTAATTACATTCACAATGCTGTGCAATCATCACCACTATCTACTCCCAAAACATTTCCATCACTGCAAAAGGAAACCGGGAACCCACTAGGTGGTCATTCCCCGTTCTCTACCCTGGCTCCTAGTTAAGTTTTAATCTGCCTTATGTGTCTATGCATTTGCCTATTCTAGGTACATCCTGTAAGTGGAACCATATAGCATGTGTCCTTTTGTGTCTGACTTATTTCACTGCCATCTTAACCATCCCCACCATCCTCTCTAGAACTTTCTCATCTTCCCAAACTGGATCGATACACCTTTTTTTTTTTTTTTTTTAGTTTATTTATTTATTTTGAGAGAGAGCGAGAGTGGGATCAGGGGAGGAGCAGAAAGGAGGAGAGAGAGAGAGAGAGAGAGAGAGAGAGAATCCCAAGCAGGTTCCACACCATCAGCGCAGAGCCCAACTCAGGGCTTGAACCCATGAACCACGGAGATCATGACCTGAGCCAGACACTCAACCGACTGAGCCACCAAGGTGCTCCCGGGTCAATATACTTTTAACTCTTAGCCACTTCTTCTGGAGCTTTCATTTTTAAAAATATGCTTTTCTTATTGTTCTTGATAGACTCATTTTAGAAATTCTTTGTGAGCATCCTGCAATGATACTTGCTTGGTTTCTAGCCCCATTTTGCTCACCTTTTTTCCAGACATGAGGTAATAAATTTGTGAAATTTCCTATACATGCTGTGATTATGTTTCTTTTCTGGTCAGTGTTTGCTTTTTTTTAATTAAAATGTATTTGACATATAGCACTGTGTAAATGTAAGGTGTATAACATGTTGATTTGGTGCATTTATATATTGTAATATTGCCATTGTCATTGTTTGCTTTTAAAACCTTTTTTTTTTTTTTTTTCAGTTTTTTTAATGTTTATTTATTTTTGAGAGAGACGGAGAATAGCGGGGCAGGGGCAGAGAGAGGGAGACACAGAATCCAAAGCAGGCTCCAGCTCCGAGCTATCAGTGCAGGGCCCAATGCAGGGCTGAAGCCCGGGAGCTGTGAGATCATGACCTGAGCCGAAGTCAGGCACTTAAACCGACTGAGCCACCCAGGCACCCGCTTTTGAAAACTTTCTAATTATTGGGGCACCTGGGTGGCGCAGTCGGTTGGGCGTCCGACTTCAGCTCAGGTCACAATCTCGCGGTCTGTGAGTTCGAGCCCCGCGTCGGGCTCTGGGCTGATGGCTCAGAGCCTGGAGCCTGCTTCCGATTCTGTGTCTCCTTCTCTCTCTGCCCTTCCCCCCTTCATGCTCTGTCTCTCTCTGTCTCAAAAATAAATAAACGTTAAAAAAAAAAAAAGTAAAAAAAAAAAAAACAAAAAACTTTCTAATTATATTTCCTTTCTCCTTGCATCATCTGCCCTTTCTGCTTCTTTAAGTTGTTCTGAACTACCACGGATAGCAACAAACCTCAAATTCCCATCCTCCCCCCGCAGGGAAACCTCCCTCCTCCCTCCTTGAGCCCTCAAACTGGACTGGGCCTTAGCTGTCGTCCAGGATCTTACTTCCCCACTGTCCTGGATTGTATCCTCTGCCTCCTAGATTCAAAATCCTCCTAGTTTTTCAGCCAAGATGGATCAGCTTAATGGTTTGTGGCATTGGACTACAGATACTAGATAGCTTTATCCCATTGGGAATAGTCCTGCAATCAGGCAGGTGCCATTTGGTCCTTGGATTAACAAAACCCTCCTCTCTGTTGACGGCAGTCCACTGTCTGGTCTTGGAACCACTCCTTGCTTGGCTGTCCTGCCTGCACTAGCACCTGCTGTCCCCGCCCCCCCCCTTTGTGTTCACAAATTATTCATTGCTGTCCAAGCTAGTGCCTTTTTCCGTGTTTGTATTTTCTTGCCCTACCTTTGCTGGTTTTCACTGGTACTTCTGGCTTATGGTGTGCCTTCCACTGATATCACTTCAACAGTTACTTGCTTATTTTATAATTTTTTTAAACTTGAGTCCTGGGGGGGCGCCTAGGTGGCTCAGTCAGTTAAGTGTCCAACGTTGGCTCAGGTCACAATCTCACAGTTCACGAGTTTGAGCCCCATGTCCGGCTCTGTGCTGACAGCTCAGAGCCTGGAGCCTGCTTCAGATTCTAGGTCTTCCTCTCGCTCTCTGCCCCTCCCCCACTCATGCTCTGTTTCTCTCTCTTAAAAATAAACATTAAAAAGAATTTTTTTTAATTTTTTTTTAATCTTTATTTATTTTTTTGGCACAGACAGCGGACGGGAGAGGGTCAGAGAGAGCGGCAGGCACAGAATCCGAAACAGGCTCCGAGCAATGGGCATGGAGCCCGACGTGGGGCTCGAACTCACAGACCGGGAGATCTCGACCTGAGCCGGAGTCAGACGCGTAACCGACTGAGCCACCCAGGCGCCCCAAGAATTTTTTTTTTTTTTTTTTTAAATAAACTTGAGGGGCACCTGGATGGCTCAGTGGTTAAGCGTCGACTTCGGCTCAGGTCGTGATCTCATGGCTCGTGAGTTCCAGCCCCGTATCAGGCTCTGTGCTGGATCCTGCTTCGGATTCTGTGTCTCCCTCTCTCTCTCTGCCCCTCCCCTGCTCACTCTGTCTCTCTCTCTCTTCCTCAAAAATAAACATTAAAACAAAACAAAACAAAACAAACAAACCTTGAGTCCTGGAGGGGCCTCACTGCACTCACAGTGATGAATAGTGTAGAAATAGAGTAAGGAAAAATGTGCCTCCAGATAGGAGTCTCCTTCCAAGCAGAGAATCAACTTTACCTAAAGAGAAACTACAAAGGATTTCACCTGGACCAAAAAATACTTTTGTGTACTCATGTACAATGTTATAAACCACTTCTTTTTGCACGAGGGATAGAGAAAACTTAAGAAGGAGATAGAGCTAAACAATAAACTCGGGTGTTAACTAATCGGATTGAAACACACCTTCAAGACTAAAACTGTGCTCCATCATAAGTGGCTGAGGTCATGTTGTTTTTCCTGCCACACATAAAAATACAAAGATGCTCTCGCTTTCAAAATGTTTTGATTACCCACTAACATGTTGTTCCAGAATCTCAATCACATAGGACTATGAGAATTCATAAAACATGCAGGAGATAGCTTTAGTTAGAACACCGAAGTTTCTTGAGTACAGCTCAGCCTTATGTTGAAGAGCTGAGGAATGATGGGTAATGAGGTCTGCAACTTACTGTGAAATAAAATACGACGCATAAATGAACGGACGGGCTAGAGAGATGGATCAACATGTGATAAAGCGTAATTGTAGAATCTGGATTAATTGTGGGATCTAAATGATGGGCATGAGTGTTTACCATAAAATTCTTACAACTCTTTTGAATGTTTGAAAAAATGTCATACAATGACACGAGGGCACTCAGTCACTTCAGACTATGAAGACATGCTAGGTGCTTTCACGTTTTATCTCCAACAACCCTGTGAGGTTGACAAGTGAGACAACTGAGGCTTAGAAAGGTTGAATGACATGCTTAAGGCCCCATAGCTAGTTGGGACTGAGCCCAACCTGGAATCCAGGTCTACCAATTCAGGAGAGGCTATATGGTGAGGTAAAATAACACCCAGTTATAATCATTTGGAGGGGGGGGGGGGGGGCTCCTGGGTGGTTAAGAGTCGGTTAAGCATCCAACTCTTGATGTCGGCTCAGGTTGTGATATTGTTAGTCATGGGTCGAGCCCGTGTCAGGCTCCCTGCTGAGCGTGGAGCCTGCTTTGGTTTCTCCCCCCGCCCCCCCCCCCGCCCCTCCCCTGCACATGCTTTCTCTCTCTCTCTCTCTCTCAAAATACATAAACATTTTAGAAAATAATCATTTTTGGAACCCAGGGGTTTTGAGAGCAGTCTTTTGTTCAAAGAGCTATTTGAATCCCCTGGCACCATGCCTGGCATGCAGACATGCTTAGTCCCATCCACTTCCTTGCTTATTCCTTCAAGAGTTTCCTAATCGAAAATAGGGCTAGCAGATCTAAGTGGGTCACAAAGACACCTTTTAACTGTTGACACATACAAACATTACAGTAAAAATTAGACTGGAGATACTAGGCATTGATTTCAACCCTTATCACCGGTAATTTACTCTTTCTTTTAAACAAAAGTCCCAGCATTTTGTTTCCGCCTGCTGTGGCCCAAGAACACATCTTTATTCAGAAGGTATAAAGTCCAGAGAACATACGAATATCTGAAGAAAAAAAAAACCACAACATCGTAATCACTAATTCATAAAAGAAGGAAAAAAAACCTTTCAGCTAAGCGTGATACTTTTGTGCGCTATGTTCAGAGTGAGCACAGGACAGGGCAGTTTCCCAGCTGAAGCCACTGTTCTCCTTCCTGTCGTCACCTTTAGGCCCTTATGACCAAAGAGTGCCAACAGTGGCTTGACACTGCATGTGTCTCCTTGCCAAGTGTCTCACCTGCACTGTCTAAAAGAATCCTTGGATGAGCTTCCCCCACTGGGGATGGGCCCAAGTTGTGCCCTCTATTTCAGAGGGTCCTCGGAGAGGGTGCAGGCTCCTTCCATAGGCTCTTGCATCCAGGGGACCTCATCTCTGAGGAACAGAAGAGCTACAGTCCAGAAAGCAGAATGCTGTAAGGGAGAGAACAACCCAGGGGGAAAAGCTAGTTAGGGAAATGATTGGCAGTGAAGAAACTCCACGTGGGACTTGGGAGCAGAAGCCTCAGAAAGTGGGCTCAGCCCTCAAGTGGCTTTTGATTCCTGCCTCCTTCCAAGGTATCAGCTTGCCCTCTGAACTCAGAGCTTTGTTTTCCTCAAATGCCTCCTTTCTTTCCACTCCTTATCCCCCAAATGCATAAAGTTGGCCTTTTCCCTTCCAAAGAAAACTCCAATCATCTCTTGTGAGCTCCATCACCCACTTTCTTGAAATATACCTGGAAAGTACCGGAAATGAACTGGAGGCCTCCCAAAACAGGGATCGGCTCTGAAAGCCCTAACACAGGCCACTGTTCCCTCAAGGCTCTCGCCGGAGCGATGGATCCACTGATGGGCTTCCAAGGCATACCTGCGCTTAAAGCCTTTCCCACATTGTGGGCAGGAGAAGGGCGGGCTATCAGAGTGAATGTGCCGGTGACTGAGAAGGAGAAAGATATAGGTAAAGCAGAGGCCACAGTCCACACAGTGTGTGCGCCTGTATGTGTGCACCTGAGGATGGCCAGCCAGCAGGGAGGCGTAGGCAAAACAGAGGCTGCAGCTGGGACAGCTGTCAGGGCTTCTCCCCACTGTGCTTGCGCTGGTGGATGGCTAACAGGTAGGGGTAAGTGAAGTGACTTTTGCAGTCTTGGGGGGGGGGGGGGTTTCTCCCAGGTGTGAGAGCCCACCTGTGGATGGCCAGGGAACCCCTCTGGTGGAAACGTTGCCCACAGTCAGGGCAAGAGTGGGGCTTTTCACCTGTGTGGAAGAGTTGATGCTGGAGCAGATGCTTGCACTGGGAGAGACGAGCCTGGCATTGGTCACACCGGAAGGGCCGCTCCCCAGGTTGGCCAGGAGGGAGGGGTAGCTGAAGTTGTGGCCACAGTTTGGGCAAGCGTAGGCTGATTTGTGGGTTGTACTGTCCTTGAACCAAGGCTAGATTGGGCTCTGCCCAGAGTCCAGTAGAGCTCTGGGCAGGTGGCTTTGTGACTGGGGCCAGGTGGCCTGCTGGATGGTAACCACTCCTTGAGAGACATTTCCTCATGCGCCGTCTCTCTGTTTTGGACTCTTGTTCAGTTCTTTTTCCTCACTGTCATCCCCGGATCCTGAAACAGGATAAAAGATAAAACTTCAAACTTAGCATATTCCATATGGTGGCCTGACCTGGGAAGCAGCATGAATGTCTGAATATACGGCAGTCTGCTGGATTGGGGCTCTTTGAGACGGGGGCCTCATCAAACCCAGAAAGCTAGCCTGGAGTAAAAGCAAATTTCATCATCTGGACGGTGTTAACACATGAAAGCTCTGAAAACTGGAGATAAACAGAGGTGAACCCCTACTCTGTCAGGAATTGAGGGTGGTGATGGTCTCAGCCTTTGTGGAGCTTACAACCCTGAACCTATTTATGACCCCTTTGCAAAACAGCCACTAAATGACCTCCCTTAGGCCATCCCCAGTAAGGGGATGTCATCAAAAAGTCTACACTTGGACTGTACTCCAGGTTCCACAGGAAGACCTGGGAACGAGCATTTATTATGACGTGACGGCAGAGAAAACATGTTTGTTTGTTTGTTTAATGTTTATTTTTGAGAGAGACAGAACATGAGTGAGAGAGGGGCAGAGAGAGAGGGAGATGCAGAATCTGAAGCAGACTTCAGGCTCTGAGCTCTCAGCACACAGCTGAACTCGAGGCTGGAACTCTGAACCAGGAGGTCATGACCTAAGCCAAAGTCCCACACTTAACCGACTGAGCCACCCAAGCACCCCAACATGTTTTATTTTAGAATCTCTGATGAAGGACATTATCCTTGCATTGTGGTCCACATATTAATATCTAAAAGGAACATTTATCTTCATTTTATTACACAAGAAAAATCTAATTAGGTATGTGTTTCTCCTTTCCTTTCGCTGCCCTGACAACTCAAGCACTATTCTGTACTAAACTGGGGTTTTCCAGTACGATTAAGTAGTGCTATTTAGCTCTTCTATGAGCCATTTTGCAGTGAGATTGGAACCTTCGGGAGAGGAGGTTTAGGGATACGCGATGGGGCTTTGGAGGAGGCAGTATGTGCTATGGATTCGAGTTAGGGGACGAGCGTCTAAGAGGTGCCAATACTGGGTTTGAGTGAAGTACCCGTTACCTTTCCCCCCGTCTCTGATGACAGCTGCTGGGGTCTCACCCTCTGGATCCTAGGCCTCCACCTCTCCTTCCACCCAAGAAATAAAAGCGGATTTGGGGCCTAAAAATCCTGCGGAGGGAAAACATTGGGTTCGGCTGAGAACCCGAGAGGGAAGGATGAGGCTGCTTCCTTAGTGCCCCACACTTCCATCCCACTCGAACCTGGGGACATCAGTCCTCCCTTCCCGTCATTCCCCTTAGCTGGACCGCCGGGCCTCACCGAGCGCGCCCAGGCGGCCGTACGTCTCCCACATCACGTCCCGGTACAGGGCGCTCTGCGCTGACCGCCAACACCCCCAGCCCCCCAGAAGAAGTACACGGCCACGTCCGCGAAGTTCACGACCCCAGGGCTGCTTTCTCACGCCCGGCCTCTCCGGGAAGCGTCATGGAAAAACCCTTCAGTGCTACGCCAAGAGAGGCTTCTGGAATATGTGAAAACGCTCGAGGTTTGCTAGCTTTCTTCTGAAAAAGTCCTGAAAGGCCACGGCCGTGCCCTTAACCAACATGGCGCCTCTTCGGCCTCAACCTCCCTTGCTTTTCCGGTCTGCCCTTCCTCACCAAGGGGAAAACCAGGAGGGAGGTTGGACCTGCAGGGCAGCAAATCGTAGATGACGTACGTTGATTAGACTGCGCCGGCGATTAGGGGAAGAAGGAAGGCTGTGATTGGTCTCTCCAGAGCGGCCTATTTGAAAGGCTGAGGAGAAGGAACGACCTGTCTGGAAGGTGGAGCGCGGTGCGAGGCGGTAGGTTCTTTCTCTTTCTTTCTCTCTTCTTAAGTAGGCTTTCTTTTGACCTGGCTTTTCCGGGACAGGACCTGAAAGAGTGTTTTTGACGGTTTGAGGCTACTGCCTTCTACTTACATGAGACCTGTTACGAGCAGGTGCAGATGTCCCGGGCTTGAAGGTGAGTAAAAGCCAAAGGCTGAAAACGAGATGATGGAAGTGAGGGCTGGCCTGCCCCAACCTGCTCTGGGTACCCTGGGCAGGGCTAGCCCGGGCGAGCTGCGGAAACGATTCCTACCAGGTATTTGATTTGGCCCATGCCCCGAGGTCACAGATGTCTTGCCTTTCACAGACGCAGCAGCTGAGGGACAGAAAGCAGGTTCAAAATCATCTGGCTCCCAGGTTCAGCCAAGTGCTTAGCTAAGCACTTACTGTACCCTGTCTCGATCAGAAATTTTGTGTTCGAATTACAGCTCATAAATGAGTAATCAAACTGGAAAATGAATCAAATCACCTCTTAATCTGTTTTTTCAAACTTTTCCAACCAAGTAGTATTCATGGGAGCAGAGAAGGAAAGTTCTACGGATATAACAAAAAGCTGTCCATCCGTACAGTGAAACCACTTTGAAGACATAATCTAGCTATACAATTCATGTGGATATGCATTCTATTTCATAATATAGTCAAATTCAATAGAGTGCATAGTCAAAAGTAAGTTTTGAACATGTTGAACGTTCTTATACTACAGGTGGAGTGTAAATTGGTACAACTTTGGAAAACTGTCCGTATCTACCAAAGCTAAATATTTGCGTGCCTATCTACGACCCAGCAATTCCACTCCTACTCACATAATCAGAAGAAGTGCATACATAGGTTTACTGAACGACACGTACTCAAATGTTCACAGCAACATTAGTTGCAGTAGCCAACAACCGGAAACTATTCACAACAGTAGAAGAATGAATAAATAAATCATTGGAATACTATTCATGGAATATTATTTAGAAATGAGAATGAATAATCTAGAACTACATGCATGATATGGATGAATCTTACAGACATACTGTTGAGCAAAAGAAGCCAGACACAAAATAATATGTAATATGTGATTCAATTTACATAAAGTATAAAAATAGGCAAAACTAATCCAAGCTTTTTGTTTGTAAAGTGCTGATAATGGGGTGGCTGACTGGCTCAGTCAGTAGAGCCTTGCTCTCAGGGTCATAAATTTGAGCCCCACGTTGGGTGTAGAGATTACTTTAAAATAAATAAATAGGGGTGCCTGGGTGGCTCAGTCAGTTGTGTCCATTCTTGATTTTGGCTCAGGTCATGATCTCATGGTTCATGAGTTCAAGCCCCATGTCCAGCTCTGTGCTGACAGTGTAGAGCCTGCGTGGGATCTTCTGTCTCCCTCTCTCTCTGCCCCTCCCCTGCTCGTGTGCCTTCTCTCTCACTCTCAAAAATAAATAAACATTAAAGTGTAAATAAATAAAGCAGGGCACCTGGGTGGCTCAGTTGGTTAAATATCCAACTACAGCTCAGGTCATGATCTCACAGCTTGTGAGTTGGCACCCCTCGTCTGCCTCTGTGCTGACAGTGTGGAGCCTGGAGCCTGCTTCAGTTTCTGTGTCTCCCTCTTCCTCTGGCCCTCCCCCACTCGCGCTCTGTCTCTCCAAAGTTAATAAACATTTAAAAATAAATAAAGTGCCGGTAATATTCTGTTTTTAATTTTTTTTAATGTTTTTATTATTTATTTTTGAGAGAGTGAGACAGAACATGAACAGGGGAGGGGCAGAGAGAGAGGGCGACACAATCTGAGGGCAGCTCCAGCCTCTGAGCTGTCAGTACAGAGCCTGATTCGGGGCTCGAACTCAGGAACCGCAAGATCGTGACCTGAGCCAAAGCCAGACGCTTAACCAACTGAGCCACCCAGGTGCCCCAGTGCTGGTAATATTCTGTTTCTTTCTTTCCTTTTTTTTTCTTTCTTTTTTTTTTTTTAGAGAATGCCTATGGGGGGGGGGGGAGGGCAGAGGGAGTGAGAGAGAATCCCAAGCCGGCTCCATGCCCAGCACAGAGCCTGACATGGGGCTCAATCCCACAACCCTAGGATCATGACCTGAGTCACAATCAAGAGTTGGACATTCAACCCACTGAGCCACCCAGGCACCCCAATATTCTGTTTCTTGATCTAGGCACTGGTTACGCAGATGTGTTCAGATTGTGAAAATTGACCTGTACGTACACTTACATATGTGTGTTATGCTTCAATTAAAAAAAAAAAAGTCTCCTTCCTCTACTCCCCTCCCCTTCCCCTTCCTAGAGACAACCTCTATTGCCAGTTTCTTGTGTCCTTCCTGAGATAATTTAGGTACATGAAAGGATACATTTTCTTCCTTTCATAAGTAGTATAATAAACACACTGTTCACTTTGCTTTCTTTTCTCACTTGATACATCTTGCAGATTGTTCAATTTCAGTACATATAGATCTGCTTTTTTTAATGGCTGCGTACATAGTGTTCCACTATGGATGGAACAGTTTGTCTAGTTCATTTTCTTTTTTGTAATTAAAAAAAATTATTAAAAATTTATTACAAAATTTTTTTTAACATTTATTTTTGAGTGACAGAGACAGAGCGTGAGCGGGGGAGGGGCAGAGAGAGGAGACACAGAATCCCCTGCAGGCTCCTGGGTTCTGAGCAAGCTATCAGCACAGCTGACCATGAGGTCATGACCTGAGCTGAAGTCAGATGCTCAACCGACTGAGCCCCCCAGGCGCTCCTATCTAGTTCATTTTCTGTTAATGGTCAGTTAGTTTTTTTCCAGTCTTACTACCATAAAATAATGTAATCACATCCTTAGATATGATTTTTTTTTAAGTTTATTTATTTATTTTGAGGGGGGGGGGTTGGGGTTGGGATGCGGGCAGAGAGAGAGAATCCCATGCAGGCTTTGCAGACTCTGTCAGTGCAGAGTCTGACTCAGAGTTAGAACTCAGGAACCCTGACATCATGACCTGAGCTGAAATTAAGAGTCAGATGCTCAACCAACTGAGCCACACATGCACTGACCCCCGCCTTAGATATACTTCTTTAGGTACATATATGAGCGTGTCTGTAGAATAAATCATAGAAGCAGAATTTCTGACTCAGAGGGGAAGTCTAGTGTTTTAAGCCATTTATTAATTTAAGTTAGTAAAATTGTCTCCCAAATCCATAAGAAGCATATCCAGAATATGTACCATATTTCTTTTCTATCTTCAGGCTACCCGGTTTGAGAAGCATGGTTTTAAGGTCTTTTATTTATTCAGGTGACATGGCAGACAGAATAGTGGGCCCCAGAATGTCCATGTTCTAACCCCTGAAACCTGTGAATATGTTACATTGGCAAACAGAACTTTGCAGGTGTGATTAAACCAAGGATTTTGAGATGGGAAGACTATCATGGATTATCCCAGGGGGTCTAATGTAATCGCAACGATCCTTATAAAAGGGAGGCAAGAGGGTCCTCTCTGGGCTCAGACCTAGTTTGCAGTGACATGGCTAAAATGCCCCAAGAAGGTCAGAATTGTCAGTAAATACAGGAGCCATTTGCCTCCCTCAGGAAAATGGTGAAGAAAATTGAAATAAGCCAGCACTCCAAGTACGTTTGCTCCTTCTGTGGCAAAACAAGGATGAAGACGTGAACTGTGGGGATCTGGCATCGTAGTGCCTGCATGAAAAGAGTAGCCGGTGGCGTCTGGACCTACAAGACCACTTCCGTCGTCACAGTGAATTCTGAGGACTGGAGGAGTCTTTCTTCATTTGAAACATTGCTAGCCTATAATAAATGAGTTATGTAAACAAAAAGGGAGGGAGGCGGCAGGAAGATCAGTGTCAAAGAAGATGTGTCAACAAAAACAGAGGCGGGAGTGACGCATTGCTGGAAAGGGAACACAAATCGAGGACTCGGGGCAGCCTCGAGAGGCTGGAAAGGGCAAGGAATGGATTCTCTAGAGTTTGGAGAATGCGACCTTGCTGACACCTTGACTTTAGTCCTGGAAGACCTATTTTCAGACTTCTGACCTGCAGAATTGTGAGATAATAAATTTGTGTTATTTTAAACCTCTTAGTTTGGTAATTTACAGTAGCAGTGGGGAACTAATACAGGTAACACTACTGAATAGCAATTTCTGAACTTTGTCAAGTACTGTGTTGGGGATGTGAGCACTCTCCTAGCTCTGAATTCAAGAATTGAAGATCTAAAAGAGAAGCAATAAAGACATTTTGCTGCATGAAAGAAGCCTTAGACAAAAGAACACACACTGTAGGATTCCATTTATGTGATGTTTTATGACAGCGTAATTGAATCTGTAGTGGCGACATAATTAGAGCAGTAGTCTCTGGCGGAAGGGGGATGGGTTTAACTAGGAAAGGCCATGAGGGAACTTTGTAGGGTGATAGTGATGTTCTATATCTTGATGGGGGTTTGGGTGTATGCTTAGCAAATACTTAAAATTTATTTTCATTTTATTCTATGTAAGTTTAACTCAAAAACTATGTAAAGCAAATATTATTGTGCTCTAGCTAATAGTGTGCATGCTGAAATGTTCAGGGGTCATGTGTACTGATGTTGACAATTTCTTTGAAATGCATCAAAAAAGAAAATGGACTGGTAGAGAGATGGATAGTTACATGATAAGGCAAGTACAAGTACGGTAAAATGTTAATGCTAGAATGAGGTGAGGTGGTAAATATATGGGTGGTCACTGTAAAATTCCTTCAACTTTACTGTGTGTTTGAAAACTTTCAAAATAAAATGTTGGGAGAAAAAGAAAAGAGAAGCAAACTGCATATTGC